CTTGGGAGCACAATCGAAATAGTCGGGAGCGCTGTAGTCTGCACTGCGTACAGAAAAAACCCCATTGAAAGCACCGCAGAAGGCAGGAAGTCTTGGCAAGTTCTCAGCATCGGAATGGCACTACATGCTGCCGCTGTTTGTAAGCGGCACCGCGGCGAACCGCTCCGGAGCGCTTGCCGTTGCTGCACGAGTAAACGCGCTTATCCCCAATGCCGCTTGCAGCCTCCAGCAGCGGTCTCGTTTTTCTCGGTCTCCGGGAAAGGGCGACTGCAGTCGGCTGCTTTTCTCCGAGTACCGGGCTCTTCTGCACACATACAAACAGAGATGTTCCCCAGCCCCTTTTCCCCTTTCCTTTTCCTTGTTCTCATGTCCTGCGACAAAAAGGCAGGGAAATGGCTTTCCAGAAGGAAAAAGGTGTCACTTACCCCTCTGCAAGGATCAGGGCACAGCAGTGCAGCAAATCAGGGGGGCCAAAAGGCGAACAGCATCTGACAGAAAAAAGGGGACGTGAGGTGGGGGAGAAGCGGAGCTGGGGACGAAGAAGAGGAAAGGGGAAAAAAGAACAGAGGAACATGAAGAGAAATAAGGATGGGGGGAGAAAAAGGGGGCAAAGAGTGCAAGAAGAGATGAGGGAAGGCGGGGAAAAGGCGGGATGGCAGGAAGTGCATGAGAAGGACAAAAGGAAAAGGGGGACGAGGGAGGAATCAGGGCCGTCGCACGCAGCAGCGCTGTCCCGCTGCGTGGGAACGTGAGGAGGCTGTGAGGCTCCCAGCTGCTCCCCTCTGTCCTCCTGCTGAGCTCAGCGCTGCGGAAAATCAGCCGGATGAGCAGAACGACGAGCAGCAGGAAGGGCACGAATGGCAGGGGGTAATGAAGCAATTCAGAGGCTGTGTCTGTGTTGATGCTGAAAACCTGAGAGCCGCAAGTTCCGACCGCACGTTTGTTTAGAGAGCAGTGGTGAGAAAGCAATGAAGCAATGAAGGCCTGCGTGTGTTTGGGCAGCAAAGATGTGCGTCTGCTGGCTGTTTGTGCGAGTGGTGAAGCGTCGCCACAAAGGGGAAGCTGCAGCGCTCAGCCAATGAGGAGCCAGGGCAGGAAGAGCTCAGCAGCGGGCATTGGGGGAGCCAAGACGCAGCGCTGCTGCTCGGGGCTCGGCTGCTCGCAGGAGCCGCCATTGCACTGAGAACGGAATGGGCTTTGGAAGAAAAGGGGACGATGGGGAAGGAAAAAGGAATGGGGACGAGGGGGGGGGAAGGAAGTGGGGGAAAAAGAGGAAAAGGAAAAGAAAAAAGGGGGACGGGGCGAAAAAGGGGATGGGGAGGAAAAGGGGTAAAGGGGGTGAAAGGTGAAGTGGGGATGGGGGCAAAAAGAAGACGAAGGGGGCGAAGAAGAGGAGAGTAAAGGGCGCAAAAGGGAAAGGAAGACAAGAGGGGAAAGGGGAAAAGAAGAATGAGAATGGGAGGAAAAAGAAAAGGAGATGAGGAGGAGAAAAGGAGAGAGGAGAAGAGCGGGGAAAAAGAGGCAAAAAAGGGAGAGAAAAGGGGAGAAGGGACAGTAAAAAGGGGACCTGGAAGGAAAAAACAGGACATGAGAACGAGGAAAAGGAAAGGGGAAAAGGGGCTGGGGGCGTGAACTGTGCCACCAGTAAACACAGCAGAGCTGTGCCACTACAAGAACCAGAAGAGCTGTACCAGCATTCAAGCCAGCAGACTTGTGTCAAGGTGTCCCAATTATACCCAGCAGTGCTGTGCCAATGTGCCACCAGTAAGCCCAGCAGTGCTTTGCCAATATGTTCCCATTAAACTAAGCAGGGCTGTACCAATGCGTTCTTTAGCGATGAGCACATCCTTGCAAAGTCCTTGAAAGTAATCCGCCATGCGATATGGGGAGATACTGCCCACAACGCCTAAGGGACCCCATTTCGTAATAGGAACTGCTAGCTCGTAACAGGGGGATCCCACAAATCCTGGAATCATTTTCTCCAGAAAACTATTGCTCTCCCCCTTCACCCACTGATAGAAATTCCCAAGAAAAGACACGATGTACATTTTAGTACATTTGGCCTGCCTGGCTCGCCAAGTGTATAATCAAAGGATGTTCTAGTCACGAAATAAACGAGACAGTTAGGCAAAGCAGACCATGACAAAAGAGAACAAACAGTAGGCTTACCCCCATCCTGGGCTCACTCACCAAACACCAGCAGAGGCGGTCTCCAGAAGAGATCCTTTCCCACTGGTAGCCAGCTCTTAAACAGGTCTAGGAATTGACTTCAGCTGTGCTCCTCTGGCTGACTCATTGCTCGCCTCAGCTGATCAATCAGAGGTTCAGGCTGTGACTCAGCCGTCCCCATACACACCGCTTTACTGTGTTTCCTGGTGGCACACTGGCACAGCTCTGCTGGTGACACTACGCCTGACTCTGAAGGTTGTGTCCATGCCTTTCGATCCAGCGACAATTTGTTGCAGTGTGGTTCTCCGTGACTGCACTTGGGCATTCTGTGGCCACAAGGGTAGAAGGGAAAACCCTCTCTTCAGAGGCAACTGGAAATCTGAGGAGCAACAGATGTTGTGCTCTCAGGGAGCACGTTCAAAAAAGTCGGGAGCACTGGCAAGGGACCTAGAGGAAAAACGCCCACCAAAAGATTGTAAAATGTGCCACCATTAAGCCTCGCAGAGCTATGCCACCATTCAACCTAGCACAGCCAGAGGGGATGTTCTGGGGTTGGTACCCAGCGTTGGTGCAGTGGAAATGGCCATTGGGGCAGGCTGAGGTCCCTAAGGTAGGGGGGGGGAAGAGGGGGCTCAGGGAGGAGGACCCCCAGGAGTGGGGGGTGCAGGGCAGGGGGGCACAAAATTGTGGGGGGGCACAGGGTGTGGGGTGGGAGACGGTGTGGGTGGAGAAGGGCTAAGGGTGGGGGGGGGGGAAAGAGTGGGAGGGAGTAAAAGGTGGGGCCCAAGGGTGTGGAGGAGGGGTGCACGTGGAGAAGGGTGGGGGGGGTGGGGATGAACGGTGGGGGGAACGAGGGGGAGCACCAAGGATGTGGGGGGAAGCCAAAGGTATGGTGCCAAGGGTGTTGGGGAGGTGGGGGGGGGGGTAAACGGGGGGGAAGGGGGTGTGAGGGGGTTGGAGGCCCAAGGGTGTGGGGGGGGTGAGGGTAGATAAGGGTGGGAAGGAGGGGCAAAGGGTGAGGGGGACAAACGAGGGGGGGCAAGGGTTTGGGGGGGGTGGGGGCAAACGGGGGGGGGTTGGAAAATGAGGGGGGCACAGGTCATCAGGGTGGTGCAGGGCGGGTGGGGCACAAAACTGGGGGGGGGGCACACGGTGGGGTCATAAAGTGGGGGGGGGCACAGGGAATAGGGGGGTCAGCAGGTGAGGAGGGCACACGACATTGCGGGGTTGCAGGGGGGGCGCAAAATCATGGGGGGGGAACAGAACTTTGGGGATGGGGGGCCACAGGGTGTTGGGGGGCCACTCGGTGGGGTTCCCCCATTGTGGGGATGGGGTCGAAGCCCCTGCAGACCGCTTCTGGGGGAAGGGGGGGGAGCAGGGGGGGCTCACCAGGTTCGTCAGAGCCGTCGCGACAGTCGCAATAGTCATTGTTGACCCACTCAAAGGCGATGGCGGAGGAATCGTCCAGGCAGGTGAAAGGCTTGGATTCCTCAGAAGTGATGGTCTGGGGGGGGGGGAGGTTAAGGGGGGGGTTGTCCTCATGTGGGGGGGCTCAAGGGGGGGGGGTCACTCACTGCTCAGTGAGACGCCGCAGGGCCGCATCACCTCCACAGCATCCGTGGGGGGGACCAGCATCAGGGGCAGCAGCATGCAAGGGGGACTGGGGTGGAATATGGGAGGGGGGGCTGGAATCTATAACCCCCCCCTACTGGCCCCCCCCAGCTCCCTATAGATGCTCCTCAGCTTCTCACAGATCGCCCCGGGGATATTTAAAGCTCCCCCCACCCCCCCCCAAGGTTCTCTATAGGGCTCCTGCTGCTCCCCCTACAAAGCCCCAGTGCCCCCCATACAAATCCCTCCCCATACAGAACCCCCAAGCAGACCCCTCCCCATACAGACCCCCCCAGACCTTCCCCCCCATACAGACCCCCTCCATATCCCCATACAGACCCCCTCCCTATTACAGACCCCCTCCCCAGCTTCTTCCCCATACAGACCCCCTCCATACAAACCCCCTCCCCACGTCCCCATACAAATCCCTTCCCCATATCCCCATACAGACCAGACCAGCCCCATAAAGACCCCCCCATGTCCCCATGCAGACCCCCCCCATACAGACCTCATTCATGGCCCTATACAGACCCCCCTATGTCCCCATGGAGACTCCCCCCCCACGCAAAACCCCCCCACGCAGACCACCCCTACAGACCCCTCAGCCCCCTACAGACCCCCCCCGCTCCCCCCCAGTGCCCCATCTCCCCCCTTCACACCACGTGACCCTACACAGACCCCTCAGACTCACCCAAATCGCCACCGAGACAACCACAGACCCCCCCCTTCCCCTATAGCCCCCCTCAAGACCCCTCCCCCTTCAAGGCTCCTCCAGCTACCCTACCAACCTTCCCCGATGGAGCCACCCCACAGACCGCCTCCTCCCCATACAGGCCCATATTGGCCCCCTGCTTCACCCTACAGAACCTGAAACTCCCCAAGACCCCCCCAGCCCCCAGCCCAAGACCCCCCAGCCTCACACAGCGCCCTCAAATCCCCACAGACGCCCCCAAACCCCCTCAAACACCCCCCAAAAGCCCTACAGACCCTCACCCTCAGACCCCTATAGAGCCCCCAAACCCCTTCTAGGCCTCCAGTTCCCCCCGGACGCCCGCCGTACCACACAGACGGCCACTCGTGCTGGGCGCACAGCCCACACGCCGGAAGCGGAAGCCAAGGAACGGAAGTTCCGGGCGTGCGCCGTTGTCCCGGAGACGCGGCCGCCATGTTGGATGTGACAACACCGCCAATTTGCGCGCGGGGAGCGGTGGCCATATTGAGTGTGGCGGCGGCGGTCAGCCAATGGGAGCGAAGCGTTTGGTTGCCGTAGCGACAGGAAGAACGCGTGGAAGCAGAGCGGCACTTGTGTGTGCTGGGGGGGGGGGGGGGGGGGGGGCGAATTTGGGGTTCGAGGGGCGGGCACTGAGGTTCTGGGGGGGAGGTCTTTGGATGGGGGCGGGGGGGCTGCAGATCACATTGGGGGGAGGATTGGAGGACCCTGGGGGGGGGGGGCGGTGGAGGCAAGGAGGATTGAACTGGGGAGGGAGGAATTTGGGATGGGGGGGAATTGGGGGTCGGGGGGGGGGGCTGAAGACCCCCCTATGGGGGAGGTGGGGGGAAGCATTTTGGGGATGGGGGAGTTGTCTATAAGGGGGAGGGTCTGTCCACCCTATTGACCCCCCATGCAGGTTTAACGCCCCCCCCCGCCATGGGCACCCCCCCACATCCCAAACCTTCTGCAGGGACAGAAGCACAGCACAGGTAATGGAGTGCGGCGGGGACACCTTAAATTGGGGGGGGTACAACTGATGTCCTTGACCCCCCTGCTGTGCCCCTCCCCCCCATTTTAGAGACCCCTGAGGAACGGAGGTGCTGGCTGAAGGCTGAGATGCAGTGGCTGCAGCACGACACAGCGCGGGCCATGGATGTGAGGACCCCCCCCCTGCCCCCCTCCCCAGAAGTGGTCTTCAGGGGCTTCGACCCCATCCCCAAAATGGGGGAACCCCCCCACACACACCCTGTTCCCCCCCCCGAAAGCTCTGTGCCCCCCCCCGAATTTTGCCCCTCCCACACTCTGTGCTTCCCCCCCTCCTTAGAATTTTGCGCCCCCCCCCCCCTCACCTGCTCACCCCCTCATTCGCTGTGGCCCCCCCCCACTCTGTGACCCTCCCCACACCCTCTGCCCCCCCCGGGCCTTTTGCCCCCCCCCTTCCCCCACTGTGTCTCACCCCACACCCTGTGCCCCCCCCCAATTTTGTGCCCCCCCGCCCTGCAGCTCCCCAAAGCCCTGTGCCCCCCCTCACCTTCTGACCCCCCCTTCCTTTTGCCCCACCCACCCTATGAACCCCCACGCCCTGTGTTCCCCCCCACAATTTTGAACACCCCCTGCCCTGTGCCCCCCCACCTTCTGACCCCCCCCGTGCCTCCCCAACCCTGTGCCCCCCGCATTAATTTTGCCCCTCCCGCACTCTGTGCCCCCCCCCCGCAATTTTGTGCCCCCCCCTGCAGCCTCCATGCGTTGTGCCCCCATACCCCCCCACAATTTCGTGCCCCCCCCCACCCCGCACCCCCCAATTCCTTTTATCCCCTCTCCACTTCTGACCCCCCCACCCTGTGTCCCCCCTCTTGGGCTCCCCCTCCCTCATCCTGTGATTCCCCCCCCCCATTAATTTTGCCCCCCCCACCCTGTGCCCCCTGTCAACGGTTTAAGGGCTGCTTCGGCCCGGTTCCGTGACGAGTGGGGCGGAGGGATCCTCAGGAAAAAAAAGGAAACAGGGGACCCCAAAATAATTAAAACAGCGGCACCAATCTGAGGAGAAACAAACGAATTCACTAAGTATATTAGCAGGATGCAAGAGAACACACTATAATACAATATAATCAGAATGGAAGCTAATAAATCAAATATAATGAGAATGTCCAAAAGGTGGACAGGCCTCAGCACAAGGCTGAGGTGAGATGCGCAGTGCAGCTGAGCAGCGGGGAGACGGGAGCAGCGCCCAGGACGAAGGGCAGGCGAGAAAGAGCATCAGGAGACCTTGCCAGGAGTTTAACCTCCTCGCCCTGAGCGCAAGGTCCCCTGGGGAATGCAGTTCTTCTTCTCTTCTGGGCAGGTACCCAGGACTTGAGCACTGACAGTGAAAGTCCCAGTGCCCCACACGATGGTATGATGTGGAATACCGAAAGGCAAAACTCACAAAGCCACGACGCTGTCCTGACAGCTGCTTCTGCTCTCACAACTACTTGGAACGATCCTTTGCAGTCGGGTTGCAGCTTTGCCTCCTTGGTCTGGATGAGCACCCAGCCTCCAGGCTGGGATGGATGAATGGGAAATTGCAGAGGCGATGATTGTGCCAGCAGTCCTCGGGTCCTGAGAGAGGATAGTGAGGAAGACAGTCCGAGTCTGCGGTTCTTAAGGAACACATCTTGAGTTTCAAACTGCGGTACCTCATTTTTCTTTCCCAGATATGGGAACCCGAATAACATTTCCTATGGAGAAACCCCCACAGCCTGTCTTGGTGCTGTACGGATTCGGAGAAGTGCCAGAGGCAGGCATTTGGTCCAACGGAGCCGAGTCTCTACGGCCAACTTGTGAGGAGCTTCTGTATTCTCTGACTCGTTCTTTCTGCTTTTCCTGATGACGGCAGGTGCCGGGGGTATGAAATTCCCATTTAATCCCTGAAGCGTGCATTAGTTTCTGTAATGTGTGTGAAGTGAAATGACTGCCTTGTTCTGAATCCACATATCCTACTCCTCCATACCTAGGGATTATGTGTTCCAAAATCACCTTGGCCACCACATTTGCAGTGGCAGATACTGACGGAAATGCTTCTGCCCGCCACTTCAATGGTCTGCTGACACGAACGAGTCTTGATTTTCCCTGCATTCGGGAGTTATGTAAAATCTGCTTGAGTACTTTGGAATGGTCGAATCCCCGGCTCTCTTTCCCCTTCAGGCCGGTGTCTGATAGCCTTATTATTCACTTTCTGGCACGCTACACATCCCCTACAGACCTGTTTAGCCAGAGTATATACCCCTATATATCCCTGTGCTTACGTATTTTCGCAGCACAGCATCACACGGGGCTTGTACTCCCCAATGACTGCCTTGATGCAGGGTGATTAAAATTGCGCTTGTCACTGCCTTGCTTAATATTCTCTCCCATCTGAAATGATCCACCTTCCCTCGGACTCCATGGCCCCTAAGTTCCTAAGGGTTTCCTTTTCTTTACTGGGAATTTGTTTTGGGGGAGGAGGTGGTACCTCGGGCACAAGATGGTTCATAGTAATGTTGATTGTAGAGCAGCCTCACGGGCTGTTTTATCTGCTGCTCGGTTGCCTTGGGCAATGATTGAATTCCCCTCTGGTGACCTCTGACATGCACTATTGCAATTTCAGTGGTAGCAGTAAATCTTCTAGGACTTCACAGAATTATCACAGAATTGTAGGGGTTGGAAGGGAGCTGCAGAGCTCATCGAGTCCAACCCCCTGCCAAAGCTGTTCCTACAGCAGGTCGCACAGGTCGGCATCCAGGCAGGTCTTGAACATCTCCAGAGAAGGAGACTCCACCACCTCCCTGGGCAGCCTGTTCCAGTGCTCCGTCACCTCACTGTACAGCCGTTCCTTCGCACATTAGTGCAGAACTTTCTATGCTGCAGTTTCCAGCCATTCCCCTTGTCCTGTCTCCACTCACCGCTGAAAAGAGTCCGGCCTCGCCATTTGCCCCCCACACCTCAGATACTGATAGACCTGGATCAGGTCCCCTCTCAGTCTTCTTTTCTCGAGGCTGAACAGACCCAGTTCACCCAGCCTTTCCTCATAGCAGAGATGCTCCAGGCCCCTCGTCATCTTTGTGGCCCTCCGCTGGACTCTTTCCAAGAGATCCCTGTCTTTTTTGTACTGGGGAGCCCAGAACTGGACACAGAGCTCCAGAAGAGGCCTCAGCAGGGCAGAGCAGAGGAGGAGGATCACCTCCCTCGACCTGCTGGCCACGCTCTGTGCAATGCACCCCAGGATGCCATTGGCCCTCTTGGCCACTAGGGCACACTGCTGGCTCATGGCCGACCTGCCGTCCACCAGGACACCCAGGTCCCTTTCCGCAGGGCTCCCCTCCAGCAGCTCATCCCCCAACCTGTACCGGTGCATGCAATTATTCCTCCCCAGATGCAAGACTCTACACTTGCTTTTGTTAAACCTCATCCGGTTTTTTACTGCCCAGCTCTCCAGCCTGTCCAGGTCTCACTGAATGGCAGCACATGGACTGCGAGGTGGAAGGTATTTGGGGGGGCAGGCTGTTGTGTGAAGGGGGAGGTGGGTTGTGAAAAGGGGGCTGTTGTGCAAAGGGGGGGAGAGGGTCATGAAAAGGGGGGAGTTGTGAAAGGGGGGGCAGTGGTGCAAGGGGAGGTTGTAAAGGGGGAGCTGTTGTGCAAAAGAGGGGAGGTGGTCATGAAAAGGGGGCTGTTGTGCAAAGAGGGGAGGGGGTCGTGAAAAGGGGGCTGTTGTGCAAGGGGAGGCAGTTGTGCAAGAGGGGTCTTAAAGGGGGGGGGTGATTGTGCAAAGGGGGGAGAGTGGGGAGTTGGTTGTGAAAAGGGTGGGCAGTTATGCAAAGGAGGGGAGGTGGTTGTGAAAGTGGGGGTTGTGGAAAGGGTGGGTTGTGGTTGTGTAAAGGGGGCAGTTGTGCAAGTGGGGGTTGTGCAAAGGGGGGTCATCGTGCAAAGGGGATCGTCGTGCAAAGGGGAGCAGTTGTGCAAAGAAAAGGGGTTGCAAAGAGGGACCCTGATTGTGCAAAGGGGGGAGCTGGTTGTGAAAAGGGGGCTGTTGTGCAAAGGTGGGGGGGGGAGTCGCTGTGAAAGGGGGTGGTTGTGCAAAGGGGAGGTAGGTGATTGTGAAAGGGGGGCAGTTGTGCAAGGGGGGCAGTTGTGCAAGGGGAGTGCTGGTGCAAGGGAGAGGTGTGGAAGGAGGCATGCGTCTGCAAGGGGGGATGTGAGTGTGTGAGGGGGGGTTGTGCAAAGGGGGGTGTGCAAAAGGGTTGGTCGTGCATGAAGAGTGTGCAAGGGGGACTTGTGCAAGGGGAGGAAGCACGGGGGCACTTGTGCAAGGGAAAGCATGCAAGAGGAGAGCGTTCCTGTGAGGGTGAAGTGTGCAATGGGAAGCGTGGAGAGGGGCTGCTTGTGCAAAGGAAAAGAAATGTGCCGGGGGGGCGATTGTGCAAGGGGGATGCAGTCATGCAAGGGGATGCTTGTGTGATGGAGGAGTGTGCAAGGGGGGTACTTATGGAAGGGGGAGCCACGCATGGAGGGGGAGAGTGCAAAGGGGAGTGCTGGTGCAAGGGGATTTATTGTGCAAGGGGAAGAGCTCGTGTGAAAATGCTTGTGCAAGGGCTGGGGTGGTGAGAGGCCCTGTGCTTGTGCAACTGCTGTGCAAAAGGGGGGGCGGGGGCATCGTGTCCTGTGCACCCCCTCGTGCAAAGCCCACGTGCACAACCCTCGTGCAACCCCCTTGTGAACAATAGTTGTACAAACCCCACGTGCGCAACGCTTGTGCACAACCCTCGTGCAAAACCTGTCGTGCAAACCCCACGCTCACACCCTCGTGCAACCCTCCGTGCCCAACCCTCACCCACAACCCTTGTGCAAACCCCATGAGCAAAACCCTCGTGCAAAACCCCACGCTAACACTCTCGTGCAAATCCCCCCACACTCCCCCATTTGCACAGTCCTCATGCAAACCCCACGCTCACACCCTTGTGCAACCGCTTGTGCACTCCCCCGTGCACAACCCTTGTGCAACCCCAGTCCCGCACCCCCTTTTGCACAACCCTCATACAACACCTCGTGCAAACCCCATGTGCACAACCCTCGTGCAATGCACAACCCTTGTGCAACCCCCCCGTGCCCAACCCCCTGTGCCCAATACTTGAGCAAACCCGAGGCTCACACCCTTGTGCAAACCCCCTCCAACACCCCCCCTTTGAACAGCCCTTCTGCAACCCCCCACGTGCACAACCCTCGTGGAAACCCAAAGCTCACACCCCCGTGCAAGCCCTCGTGCAACTATCATGTGTGCAGCCCTTGTGCACAACCCTTGTGCAAAACCCACGCCCACACCCTCATGCAAGCCCTCGTGCAACTCTTATGTGTGCAACCCCATTTTGGCTGGCCAGCCAGATGTTGGCCTGGCAGGGCACCCGGCCAGCCGGCAGCCCAACTTTGAACCCTGCAGGGTGCCCTGCCCGGCCAGCAGGCTTTAACCCAGCATTCCCTCCCCTCCCTCCACTCTCTTTCCCCCCCCTACGGCCCCTCGAGCCCTACTCAGCCTTCAGGCCCCGTGCTCACCTGCCCCCCCACCCCCTCGTTCCAGGGTATTTTACTGACTTCTCCCCACCCTGTCATGGTTCTGTTTTTGTTTTCGTTTTTTTTATTTTGGGTTTCAGTATTCCACATCAAAACATCATGTAGTGTACGGGGCACTAAAGTGTCACTGCCCCAATCCCAGCTACCTATCCCTGTACATTACAGCAGTCACGGGATCTGGCCCTTCCGGGTGGGGGGGGCGCTCTCTTGCTGCCTGGCAGTGGGTGCTGGAGGTGCTTTCCTGGCCGTTCCAAGCTTTCCAGGTTTGACTCGGTCCCGGGAACTCTCTCTCTCTCTCATCTTGTCTGATTTATTAATCTCAATTTCAATTAAATTGTATATATTGTGCTATCTTGTATTCCAATATTATAGTAAAATAAGTTTTCCTCCATAGATTGTTGCCGCTGTCCTTTTCCTCCCTTCCTTCCTTCCCGTATTTGTGGGACTGGGGTGTGGGGGGAGGGCAGAGGCCTGTCGCCCCTGTCACGGACATAGATTGATCTGGTCAACTCCGTGACAGATTTTTGGCGCCCAACGTGGGGCAAGCTGCTTTTTAGCTTTTAGAACGAATCTCTTTTTCTCTCTGCTCTTAGAGAGCTTCGTTAGGGAGCATTATCAGTAGTTCAAGTTTCTGTGCTGGAAAACCTGACCTTGAAAGATTAGGCGTACTGCCAGTGTTCTGGGATATTTGTAAACTTTGAGTACTACTTAGTCTGGGTAGTGCCTTTTTTTCCTTTTTTTTTTTTTTTTTTCTCCTCTTGTTAGCTTCAATTCATTAACCCCTTTTTAGCAAGCACCAGTGATGAACCCACTCGTTATTGTGGTGGTGCTGGGTAAAGGATTTAAAGCAATGGTGTTACTCACAACCTACTGGCCAATAATCCATCTCACACGTGTTGTGGAATTGCATTCATATATAACTACCTAAGGGCACTGATGGAGACACCTGTATTTTACCTATATGCAATGTGGTATGATTTGAATTTTGACATTTACATCCCGGAAGGAATGGCTAATTTCACAAACAGCTACATCCCAAATGGAATAGCTGATTGTACAAACAACACGATGTTCAGACCAGTCTCCGGGTTTTCTTCTCGGTTTGTCAAACGTTTTTCGAATCTTGAATTAATACTCATGTTGGTGTGCATGTCATTAATTCTCCTGAATGTACTCCAACGCATTTTTAATAAGGAGTCTGCTCCAAAACTAGAGAATGATGACTGGCAGGGAATATGGAGAGGTTTAAGAAAGGTCTTAGAAGCATGGGGACCCGCAGTGTCATGGGATTTTACTCTTGAACACCTGTGGGATCCTGAGAAACTAAGCCAGTATTTGAGTCAGGGACGATGCGGCTTACATAAATCTAAGGAGGTACAACTTATTTGGGGTTTGGCTTCTGCTTACCGTGCCCTATATAATACCATTCTGGAGAGAGAGAGTTTCCGAGCTGAGGTTCAAGCCAAAGGGGAAAATCCTCAAGTCAAATCTAATCAATCACAGGAGAAACCAGTAACAATACCAGTTGCTCCCGTGGAGGGCAAGAAATGGAAACGAGTGTCTTCGCGTCTTGAACGAAAAAGAGAAGAGGAGGAGGAGGAGGTGGAGGAAGATCCAGGCGGGGGGCCCTCCTCAGAACCACCACCATTGCGAAAGGCAAAAGGGAAAACTAAGAGACGTGCAGAAGAGAGTGATGAAGAGGAAGTCTCTATTACTACTCGCCGGCCTCTAAAGATGACTGAAATCCAAGGTTCAAGAAAGGAGTTTACACGGCGCCCGAATGAAACTCTTGTTTCCTGGT